CTTTTAAAATAATGTTATTAGTTGTCTATCCTTTGAATGCATTTGATTGTGCTGGACTTGATTTGAAGATGATTAAAGTGGGTTTAACCCAAAGGAGAAACTTCATAGCGTCGTTAAACTTGATGGCCATGTCGAAATTTATCTTTTTATTCGGCGAAGAACAGAAGTTCCATGTTTATATGATAATTAAAGCTTGTTGGGTGAATACTTCTATACTCCTGAATAAGTCAATTAACGTTTAATTGTTTCAAAGCCGGATTTCGCGATATATTCCGACTCCTTTGTATCTGGATACCCACGGGTCTATTTAAGCAGATTACAACCTTATGGCATTTAAGCACTTTCAATGCTAGAATGCACCTCGTATCATTCTATTGGTCAGGTCACTGCCTGCTCATCGCAAATAATATTTTCAGAGGAGATAGTTTTGATTGCTTTCGTGAAACATCGTAAACAATATTTCTTAGGAACTGGAGGACTGGGACCAATTTTAAGTTAAATTGTGTTTTAGTGGAGTTAAACGTATGTAGTCATTGAAAATGATTTGCTTGCATAGTAATATAGCGGTTATTTTCTAATGTGTAGTGTAGTATTTTGATGTTTTCGTTGCAGTGTTGGGAAAAGGGAAAATGAAGATTAAGCAATGGTTGTCGGCATGCTTCATTGACAGTAGACGGAGGTCATTGACTCATAGAGCGCAATTACATTCACAGTTAAATTCATAGATGGGATTTGTCGCATCTTTCGTAGACAACAATAAAACTTCTTGTACAACACAAACTGCGCAGGTCTTACTTATTCTGTAAAATACATTAGAGCTGTAAAGTTTAAAATTAGTTGTGCATATTTTAATACTACTGATTCCTGATTGTATCTTTTTATAGTCTGTTTATTAAGCTGTTTCAGGTGTTGATTTTTATATTCGCTTTGTTAGGTGAATGATTATTTTTTATGTTATCGCTGGATGACAAGCTCGATTGTCATTTCTGTTATTTTATGTAATTGCGTCCTCGATAAGTCACTGCTTGGCGGAATGAAACGTTTTTGCACAGCAGTTTTATCGCAAGCTGGTTGTGCTTCGAATGGCGGTTGCTGTGTTGAATCTGTATAACTGGGCAGCAGTCAGCTGTATCATTTGTTTGATTTAGCCCATCAGTAGCTTTCTGTGAGTAAAGTACGATGTCATTGTCAAATTTATGAATTTCTGATCACAAACATTTTGTGGTGATTGTATGATATCATTGAGTCAGCGCTCAGTCCAGTGGTCTGCGGTTTGTATCTGTGTCATTGATCGTGATGGTTATATATATATCGGTAATTTGACTTCACCCTTTATACATATTAATGAAAAGCTCTCTGCGAATCAAATGCGATGGCGTTGTCAAGCCCAAATATTTCCGTTTTATATTTATGATTCCATCATGATGGCTTTGCGAGGTCACTAGGTCATCGCGTAGTCATGTACTGTGAATTATTGCTTTTGTAGTCAGGTTGTCATCTGTAGCAATTACAGTATATCTTCGATCGGACTGACAAAATTTTTCACATGAATAATATTTTTCCTTGTTAAAACCGATGTTTAATTTATGCTGCGAATGAAGTAGGTGTATGCAATAAACAATAAATGCAATATATATGGAAAATTTATTGTTTTCCACATAAACGAGGTTCTCGCTGTTCTTCGAAACATATTTGTTATTTAACGTACCCCTGTTTTCAAATAGTCATTATTTTATGGTGAAATGTTCGGTGGAGTCGAGGATATTCTGTGCTTGATACGTGATCCTTGACGTTACACATTGACCGAAAGCACTGTGAGCACAAGACGATTGTCATTTGTCAGTTAATACATTCATAAGGGTTGAAGTAAAATGTTTAATACTGATCACCATATTCCAATGATGTAGATTCGAGATCGCGGCCGCAAGGTTGCCTTCTCGAAGGTTGCATTCTATTGATATATACCGTGACGGGCTAGGTCAAATTGTTGATGAAAATGGCCTCTGTTCAGTTGTACAAATTCAAGGTGTCGACAGCAATCACTGGTCGAAATCCAGACAGCGCGCTTCAAATCGTCATAGCTTGACTGGTTAATAACTCTCATAGTCTTTGTAAAGTGTGCATTGACTTTTCACTTGAATATTTCTTTCCAGAAACGATTTCGTTGCCGACGTTGTATTTGTGCATGGAATTAGAGGTGGTGTTTTTCGAACATGGCGGCAAAAGGATCGGTTGGTCGATAATGGAAACTCGATCGATGAGCCTCAGACACATTGCTGGCCTAGGGTAGGTGGTTTTTTAGTTTCATCACGTGCACGCACAGAAAGTAAGATGCACATTTTGTCCACAGGATTGGCTAGCCCATGATCTCCCCTTGCCTGTTCGACTGATCGCCGTCGATTACGCATCGTTCGTCACCGATTGGAGCACGAAATGTCCAGAGTTCAAAGACAAGTGAGCAATTTTGACTAATGTTCTGCAGATATGCACTGTGGCGGCGTTATTTATTGACTCGGCCCCTTATTATTAGTTTCCTTCTGCAGCCATTTATACATGTCACAGCTTCAATTTATTTGTCCACTTATAGCATTGCTTGCGTCTTGTGTAATTTTGTTTTCTACAGCAGCCTTTTGTGCATCATAAACTACGTTATAGGACCGGGTACTTTTTATGTGCTGCCGCAGAAACGTTAAAAATTTAGGATCATACGTTATAGTACGTAAAATGGTGTTTGACACAAGGACCCAGTTTCATAAAAAATATATTTGTATACTGGAGTTTGTTAAACTCCTCCAAGAACATATGGCCCGTTGCACCCCCTTGCTTAAATGCAAATGGATTTAAGGATGCGATACAATATGCCGTTAAATTTTTTCTTGAATGTGCTATGCGTTTTTGACTTTCTCCGGCGTTTGAACATTTTTCGATGTTTATGAGTTAACTTTAGTCTTAGCATTGAAGAATTACTACGTGCTGAAAAATTTTTTATGGTTATAGGAAAAGTGGCTCTATCGAACGAAATGCTGTCAGATGCACCTGACACTGCAGGTGCTTATATGCAATGCAGCCGTCACCTCTTCAGGTGTCGTCCATTGGCAACTACGAGCAAACGGCTACGCAGAATGCCTTAAAATCTGGTCTTGGAGGAATTATGGGTTATTTGACCAGATTTCACGATGTATTTTACTGCCCTTTTGCTCCCAGTTGTTTAGAGGTCATTTAACGGGAGTCTCTGTTGAGTAGCATGTGAGCACATGATGTGCTAAGTGCACCTCGCATTTAACACGATCGTGACGTGTCTTGACCACTTGCGAGAGAAGCAAATTTGAGACGTCAGATTTTGATCTCCCATCGATCTTCGTATGAATCCACAACACAAACTGGTCATTTTAAACGATTTCCTTTCTTCCTTCTCAAAAAACTTTCCACGTTTGTAGGTTTGGCTGCTCGTCGCTCTCGATTCTTCTATGTGCAGCCTTTGCTTATGTTCGTTGCCACGTAAAGCAGTTACTTTCGATCCTTTGTCACGAGGCATAGAAATTATTGCGTTGACTCATCGGGCATCAAAAGAGTGTACAAACTTCTTTTTGAACCCAATTGATCCTTTCTGGCTGTCATAAATACTTTTCCAAAAATAGAGTAACAGCAAAATTTAACTCTGATGCGGTCGAAGTACTTTTTCATTTTTCGGCTAATTCCTACAGTAAGCGGCTTTAACAGTTAAAGTTGTTTCCAACGTGCTGGGTCATGCCGAAACTGTTTTCAGACAATATGAAGATGTTATGAATTGAACCATGGACAATAAACCTATGTCGAAGCTCTGCCACAAGTAGATGTTAACTCATGGCAGATGGTCGTAAAATTTATAGATGCAGCTATTGCATAACTCGCCGGACGGAAGATGGCGAGAAATGTCATAAAGTCGCGACGTCATGTGGGTATATTGCTTTGAATTTTCATGTCGGCATAGTGTGACGTCTTTGTATTACTTTCTTTACCGTTGCTTTAAGCCGTGTTGTTCATATATGCTGTCATGTGCTGGTGATTACTAATGAATTTTTAGGAACATGATTGTTTCAAGAAGCAAAGAACTTATCCGCAAGTTGAAACGAGCTGGCGTTGGCAGTCGTCCGGTGATATGGGTGACTCATTCTATGGGAGGTAATATCGATGACATAGATTACGATGAGCATTAATTTTTTGGTTCATTTTTTAAGGCATTCTCGTCAAAGAAATGTTACATTTGATGGACGTAGACCTGGCTTCTGCTGCCCTCGCCCCTGACATGTTAGACAGCACGATAGGGTGCGTGTTCTATTCGACCCCTCATCTTGGTGTTCCGTTCATTTCTAATCTTTTGGAACGAAGTTACAGGTTTTTTCTTCTACCTTCTGTGGAAATAAAGTATCTCTGTGAAGGTAAGCATAGCTTTGCAAATAGTGTTTTGTATCTAACATTTGATTGACTATCAAACGAGACACCAGCCACGGTGACTGAGCTGATCAAGTCTGCTGATCGAGATGGTAAATAAAATTCAGTTTCTCCGCGCCTTTTCGGGCAATAGCATTGTAGCGCCCTCCAACCTTCTCGAAAGTTTCACATCGTCTCAGCAACGTGGTCGAACAATTTAAAATTCCTTTTTCCCAATGATATGTACCCAAAAATTCAATCAATTCCTTTCAAGGCATTATGATATCGTTTAGCACAACACACCTATGGTCTTATTTAATCGGTTACTACATACGTTATAGCATAATATGGCCCGTCCTGCGTAAATTACCTTCTAAAAACAGACGACCACAGGGGATATGCTACTTGAATCTGCACTGATGTTTGTTAGTAAATTCAGAATACCACGACTATCAGTTTTGGTTTTGAAGTTGTGTACTTTCTGCGATAAATACAGAAAATTTGACGATTTCAGTAGGTTTGATTATGAATGATGAAATGGATTTTAACGTAATTATGTTTCTTTAATTTATGTTTAAGATCTCTGTTATACAATTCTTTGTTAGATTTTAAGAGATTAAATAATTTAGATGGTTCATACCGATACCGTGCGGTAAATCGCTTGAAAATGATAGAACTTCTGATTCCATGGTTGGCACCTAGAGGAACAAAAAATTTCACTGTTTCGACTGAAATGGAGTCGGTCATCACCTGGGTGATATTCTTCCTTCTGCGACGATAACTGATGCCAAATCGGTCGAAACGTTGGGATTTTTGTATAAATGTTTTTTGTTTTTCATGCCATTAACCATGGAATCTGATGGCCTATCGGTTTTTAAGCGATTATTTGAATTGTTTATATGGCTAGAAAATTCTTGATTTTCACAAGTTGGCTCCGCGTATAAATTTTGCTAAAATAAATCGCAATCGTTTCAGTTCGAGCCAGATCCACCATTTCTTCACTAAAGTGCAGAAAGCACTCAGCAATCTCGTTGTGTACTGTATAATGATCTGAAGGTGTAGATATGGTGTCAGCGAATTTTGATAACTGGAGTAGTTCAAGTTCAGATGTAATTGTCAGTGTTGCTCTTCCTCGACAACTCCTTTGTTGTTTCCTTCGAGACTGATGTCAAGTCCTATCAGTTGTATCTGTTAAGATATTCCCATTGTTATATCGAGAGCGTTTATTCCATCTTCCTCTTCCGATTGTTTGTTTGCTGTCATACCTCTTATGCTTTTTTGATATGACAGTCTTTCTCCACGTGTTCAGTCACTCCTGTTGTCATGCCCTTATTGTTCCGCCCACGTTTCGACTTTTACACGAGACTTCTGGTTGCGACGCTTGATGTCAGATCTGAAATGCAACCTTATTCAAGTATATAAGCTTTTACTCACCGTTTCTTATGGAGGCCGGGTACATATGGGTACTGCCTTTTGGGATGTCCTATTTCGTCTTGTCTATTTCTTATTTTGGCATTTTTATCCTTCCATTTGTGGGCTTTTTTTCGATAACCGCTTATCCTTAAACAGGCAAAAAGTGTACTATTGGTCTTATGGCATAGCATGTTCATTATGCGAAATTTTCCGGCACCTGGACAGAAAAGTTGTTTTCGGTACATCTTAACGTTTTGGCGGTAACCATATATGCAGGCGATTCGTGTGGGTCTGCTTGTGGCAAACTTCTTTGATGTATACTTATTTCTTCCTGTTTACAGTACGACCAAAATGCAAAGTTTTGTTTTCTTCAGTTTCCGTCATAAAAGAGACATCTTTCAAAGTCGAGTGGTTAGATGGTTCAGGAATCGGTTTTACGTTCCTTGTAAGCAAATATTAATGATGCGGTTAAGGTACCATTTGTAGAAGACAGGTTGCGTTGCTGCTGTAAACGCGAGAGTCTCGAGATGTTTCATGAAAACTTCAGCGATGGACGGTGAGAGCCAGCTTCCCAATGTTGCTCCTTTCTTTTGCTGCTACAGATTATCAGTGAGGTAAAAGTGCTTTAGACAACAACGTAAATTTTTAGGAGGTCTAGTATGGCTTCAGTAGTCGGTCATCCTCGTTTTAACTTCTTCGTCTGCTACAAATCCGTCCCACGAATTCACAGTCCTTGTTTGAGACACTTCTGGTGAAAAGACATTTGAAATTATTGCTGATCATTATGGCCCGTTCCCTCGCTAAAAGTACATAAATTTCTTTTCTAAGTCCACAGATATTTTAATCTACGATTTCTAATTTCCTGTGACCCGTTGTCCCTCTGCTAGAATCATATCTGAAATGAACGATTGAATTTTATTTCGACAAGAAACAGTTTGATCACTTAAGAATGTTCGACTTCTGGAATTTCGATAGTGCTTCAGAATTTCGAAATTCTGAAACTGCAGTCACAATTAGCCACTTGATATACAACTTTACCAATTTCTTTCTTTTCTTTGATATTGTTTAAATAGCTTATCAGTACGACAGTTATGGAGTAACTTGAGTCTCAGCATATTTTGAAGCAATCAGATTTTAATGCATATGCGTATTTTTCGACGTATTCTCTATTCAGTGCAATTGTTTCAATAACTTTGTCACCTTTCATAGTGTCAATGGAGTGGTCATGTTTCATTTCTTATCCTGTCATGTAGTTTGCCTCTGGCAAGATTTTGCATTTTTGGCTTTCTAGTCTTCCCTTTTACTGTAAGAATTGCACGATTCTTCCATCGCTGCTTTTCGAACATACTCTTTGTTTTAGTAGCAATTTCCATACTATGGAGCTGTGCGACCTGATAGCAGATTCAAGCATTTTTCAAGAAAGGATTTTTCCTCTGCTGTAAGCAGTCTTCTGCTCAGATTGATCATCATCGTCTTTGTCGCGACATCCTGTTTAGTAGGATTTCCGCATTTATTAGCAACGGATTCCTTCAGTTGGTTGTGAAACTTCTCAGTGTGCTTTTCTAGATGAGACATGCACGAGGGCTCTGCAATAAGTTGCCTGTAAAATACAGGACAGGTTTCAAGTTTAAGCCTGTGGTTTTATCCTAAATTGAGCCTAGGCTTAAGTATAAGCCTAAGAATAGGCTGAAGCTTAACTTAAACCTAAGCTTAAACTTTAGCCAAAGTTTAAGCCCAAACTAAGGTCTAAGCCTATGCATAAGCAGAAACTTAAGCTTGAGCGACACCTAATCCTAAGCACAAAATTAACTCTATACAAGATCACACCAAGAGTTAAAATCTAAGCCTGCGTTGTTAAGACGAAGCTTAAGGCTAAGTGTAAACTGATGTAGACCTAACCCTAAGCGTAGTCCTATACTAAAATGTCATACTAACTAATAGTTCGAACCTTTTTATATGCATATAGCTATGTGTACGTCTTAGGCTTATTCTAAAGCGTAACCTATGCCTCGGCCTAAGCATAAACTGAGCCTAACTCTACATCTAGGTGTAAATTGAAGCCTTGCCAAACAGTTTAAGACTGTGATTAAGCGTAATTCTAACTCTATTAGCTTAGGTATAAAATTAATCAAAGTTTAAGTCAAAGCGTTGTCCTAAACTTCGCTTTAGTCTAATCATTAGCGCAATGCTGAGCTTTCGTTGAAGCACCATCTGTCTAAGAATTGGCTGAAGTTTACTTTGATGCATAAGCTAAAGCTGAATGGCAGCCCTGAACCAAGGCCTAAATCTAATAGTCGCTTGAGCTTAGACCTACCTCAGAATCTAAGATAAAGTCGAGCTAGAGTTTGAGCATAAGCCTAAGGGTATGCTTATGAAGAAAACAGTGTTTGTTACAGTTTGAATGTCTGTCTTTGTTAGACTTTCTGACTGATAATAGATTAGTTTACGGACAAGCAAACCAGAGTTGTAGCGTAGTTTTTAATTTATGTATTATGCGTGATAAATTTTGTCCTGGTATGGCTAAATGTCTATTTGCAGTACAGAGTAATATATAATGAACAATTTTTAGTCTTGGTTTGTCACATGAAGATTTAATGCAAAATACGTTTGTAAGTTTCTTATTTGGACTTAATTGCATGATTTAGATTCACCACAACTGAACTCGCTTAATGCGTCTTTTATTGATTTGCTCAAGCGGAAGGAAATTCCTTGCCTGTCGTTCATAGAAACTGTCCCAACGAAGCTTCCCTGGACAAACTACAGGACTGTCCTGGTGCCTGAGAAGTCGGCGAATGTCATTCCCGGTTATTGTTATCGTCTCAACGAAAGGCATCTGAACACCTGCAAGCCAGAAACACGCGATTCAATAAACTATCGAGCTCTTTATCAATTTATTGTGCAGCTTTTGCAAGATTAATTACAGGACACTCTTCAGTGTTACTATGCCATTTAAACATATCGTTCAGCTCTGCATTCAGAAACTGTCGTCTTGAATACGACCTCCTCGTAATTCGTTTTAGTGCATACTTTTCCACGTTATGCTTTTTAATGTATTATTATCTTTCATTTTTGTTGATATTTCTTAGCCGTTGTTCTGCTGTACCAGATGAATATAGGTATAAACAGGTATGCAAACACTTCTTTCCACAATGGTTTATTTGATTTTTAGCCTGATTTCAAAACGACTCTCGATAGAAGATTCGTTTAAGCGTTCGACTCATTAAATTCTGTTGTCTTAACCTAGCCACATCCGCGTAGAGTCTCTGTCATAAGCGGGGAAGCTTGCTAAAAAAAACTTAACACTTTAAACAGTCAAGAATTCATACTTAAATGGAGAATAAGCTACTTTGTCAATAGAAGTTGATTTATTACAGCAG